ACCTCCGCCACACTGCTGCTCTCGAGATACAATTGCAAATTCATTACTTCCCTGTTTAGACTGCCTGCACTGTAAATAAATGCACTGAACTGTCGATTTGTGAGTCTGCATTTTGAGTCCTTCCGACCACCCACCATGACAGTAACGGGACTCAAACATTCCAGGAAGATCAACTTTATTTTCATTGATTCACAGAATATCTTCCCAAAAGTCTTGGGGATCATCAAGATGTTTTCTGGCAAATGTGAGACCAGCCATTGTGTTCCCTTTGCTCAGCAGTCAGTGGTTTTCTCCTTGAACTCTTCCAAGAATGCAATTTTTGCCCAAAAGAGCCTGTCTGAGTTTTTTATGCATGCACTAATTTTATGCATAGTTTCTTTGGTTAATGTGAGCGAGATTCTGAAAAGTATTTGGGTGAGTTCAGGATGTACAGCATGATAGTTCTTAAATAAAATGTTTGAGGGTAAAATATTGTGATTTCAAGTTCAGCTATTGTTATGTGGTTGTTTTTATCTTTTTTATAACCCGAACCTTCATTTAACAGGTAACAGGTTAAAAAGGCACCAGCTGCACAACGCTTGAAGGTTGACGCCGAAGAGAACAACAACAATTCTTCCCAGAGATACGATAACAAGAATGAACTGACTGTCTTGCCCTATTCCTCAAGGCCACCTGCGTAGGCTGCGAACTGTTGATCTACGCCTAATAGGTGAAAGGACACTCTCTCAGGCTGAACACAGGATACACATCCCCACACACATACACTGATACTGATACGCCCTCACCGCCACTCTCCCCCACTCTCCCCCGCCCAAATCCAATGCCTCCCATGCTTTCCTCCCATCCGATGTGAACAGTGGGCCAGACGGAGGCGCAACCGTGAGATTGCAGCGTCCCAGATGCAGTGTTGCTTGTCTGTGATTTACTGTGTTAAGGTGTCGTGATGTCTGTGTTTTCTTTATGTGCTATGGAGTTTTTCTTTTTCTCCTCATACTGACTCCCTTTTGGGGACCAGTATTAGCAGAATTTCTTTTTTTCTCCTAGATTGCCCTTCCGTGTTACACATTTCATTATTTTTCCTTTTTTCTACCTGACCTGTCTCCCCAATGTGATGTTTGTGTATTGTATGTACGGTTGGCACGGTCTGTCATCTCAGTTGTGGGCAACTGCAACCGACAAATAAAAGCACTTCTCAATCCCAGTCAATCTCAAAAAATGCCAGACTATGATGGTTTTGACTGTTTTTCAAACAAATTACAGTTAATGCAAACAAAAGTTGAAACTGTATGAAGACAGGAGCAGAAGATGTTGTGGACCTTAAAACGTGGCACGTGTAACTGCTGTTTTTAGTCTCTGGAAACGAGTTTCAATTGCTGAAGTGTGTTTTCTAAGAAAAAAAAAGACGAATAAAAAAAGTGAGCAAATAATTAAAAATGTAAGTAAAACTAAGACTTGTGTGTATTGCAATTATGAATAGTTATGGTAATTAAGCTACAATTTTCACTCTACTCTTGCTAAATTTCCTGGAACACCCACACGTGTTGAGTAATGTTTATAAAAAAATAACAAATCTGTTAAAAACACGTGGACCAAAAAAGTATAACCCATAATGGTCAGTTCACAGAATTCTCAGTTAAACTGGAGCACATGCAGGAGCAGTACACTGGCTTGTGTGCTAAACCTGCCTTCTGTTTTACAGAGCCCATAAAAGCCAAGGAAAAGTGTTCTGCATTTGAAGAAAGTCATGTTTTCAGTGATCCAAGAAGGTAAAAAAAGGAATTCTATTTGTGCTTTCATTTCTCACTCTTTATCCAGGCCACTCACTCATTCTAGTTCTTCATGTGCAATACAAAGGCTGTTGAGACAGCCACCCTCCTCTCAGTTTTTACTTATGTTGTCTATGGCCATAGCTGGGAGGTTCATCAGTTATGTTTGTATATTAACAAAAAAAACAAACAAAAACGAACCTCTCAATACTACTACCTACTTTTCCTAATAGTTTTTCCTTGACTTTGCAGAAGATCTAATTACACTTCCAGCTGACTCCTTAACAATGTCACCATGTCTGCTTTTCCAAATTTACAAAGATGGACTACAGCTTGTGACTACTACTTAACAGCAGTACATTCTTACAGTACTGTATCGCCCAGGTCAAGAGCATTATGACAAAAACTGAAAGTGAAAATAAAATGTGTGTTGTTCTTCCCTTGTTTTTTCCCCCTCTTCTGTTAACACTTTTTTGGCTGCAACTCACGGAATGAAATGAAAAACATGATTTGCCACAGTTGCTATTTAGCATTGAAGGGTCTTTCTTAGAGATTTCAGATGGCTTTTGCTATGGCTGTTACACATGTACTTCTGAGTTAGGAACCTTTACATTTGACTACTAAGCTGTACCCCTAGCATATCTAAGGCATGCACCAGGCCAGTCTTTCTCTCCTCTTTTGCTTGAACCATTTGTAACAAAATTGGGCACTGTCTGTCTGTGATGTTTGTTTTGTTTTAAACGGTTGGGAGAGAGCTCCATGCCTGCTGCTTTTACAAGATTATCGGTGAAACAGCCTTGGGAGCTGCTTGTAAGTCTGTTTAGTCTGATGATGGTATAACATTGTTTTTGGGATCAACTTTCCCTCTGAATTAAAGACAAAGTGAGATAGTGAGAAAGATTAAAAAGAAAGTAGATAGGAGTACTGGGTGTACTGTTAGGTGTCCAGCAAAGAACAAGGTGGCAAAGGAAAAGGTTTTTTCTGATAAAGCTGAGGAGCTATAGCATAAATATTTGGAAAATAATAAGTTTTCTTCTTAACCCTAGAAGCTAGGTTAAGAAGAGAGGTGATGATCAGTGAGCAGCAGCAAAGAAAATGAGCACAGGAGGTATAGAGAAGGGGCTGTTGTTTATGGTAGAATAAGCACAGTTGGAACAAGGAATAAAATCTTTGTTCTGTCTTTTTTCCACCCACCCGATTCATTAGCATTCTGACTTTTATGATTGAGCAGTGTGATGTTGGGGTGTAGCGGGCAACATATTTGCAATCCGAAATTTTTTGCTTTCAAAACAACGTTTTATAGTTGTTTAACACACACGCACACACACACAAAGCGCAATTGTAAAACAGTTTAAGTATATCCTGATCTTACTTTTTCTAAACTCCATGCAACTCCTCCTCTCCCCCACCCCCACCGTACGGTCCTGTTTCTACCTGATGAGAGAGTTTTTCAAACGCAACAAGTTCTGATAATCCTATGATGTACATATTATATTGTTCTTCTTTTTTCACCCTTTTTTGTCCTAAACTTAAGTAGAAGTATCCTTCGCCATCTGGATGCCAGACACGACTCAGTACTGGAGCCTGGAGGGCTGTTTTTCATCAGAGCAGTTATCCGGGAATAACAAGGGCGAAAAGCGAAGAAAAGAAGCTGCGTGTTGTTTTCTTTATGCTACTACGAGAAGTCATGTCGCGCTATTTCCCCACGATCATCTGTCGTTTGGCGACAATATCTGCGCTCCTGCTGACCAGAGAAACGAACAGTACGTACAAAGATTTTGTTTGTTTTATTTATGCTTGGATGGGCTTAAGCTGAAATGAAATGAACTGGCAGGTGTTGCAATTAATGCTGTCCAAATCTGACTAACTGGCTAGAGTTCTCTTACTGAACAAGCAAAAAGAACTTAAACACTGAACATGAAGTAAGTGAAGTACAACCGAAACAGGAATAACACTTTTTGAATAAAGCGAAATGTTGCAGAAATCTGCACATTTTGCATCACATTTGTTTTTGGGAATGTTGATTAAATAGAGATTACAATGCTATTGCTTTTGCCATGCCTATTTCACGTTTTCATTGTCTCATTAAAACAACTACTTGTACCAGTTTGTAAAGAGAGAGCCAGTTTGATATTGGGAAGAATCGAGTTCGGCTCAGGTACAGACACAGCAGTTCCAGTTTCTCATGTAGCCCTTTGGGAAAAATTAGTTACCTGCAGGGACACCAAATAGCTAAGCGTAATGTTTGTGCGTTTTTTCGGGTTACATTTTTACTTTAATGGCAATTGACAGGCTGTAGTCATTTTGTGGAAACTTGTTTTTATTAGTTCAGGAAAAACTTTCTAAAATCTTTTAGTAGTTTTAGCTGCAAACCCTCCTCTCATTAAAAGATTTTGGCTTCTGCTACTTTAATTCATGTGACCACATATATACAAACCCTCCTGACTGGACTTGATGAGAAAGCTGTGAAGGTTAACTTTCCCATGTGTAGCATTCCCTCTCCCAAGTCTTACAGATAAGAAATAAACCGTGAATCCTCCCTTAGTTGTGCTGCAATAACCATAGGCTGCTGGGGGATTCCCATGATGCATTGAGTAGTTCTTCTTCACTCACCTTTCTCACTCACTATGTGTCAATACACCTCTCTGCACTGAATCATACTTGTTATTAATCTCTGGCTCTCTTCCACAGCATGTCTTCTGTCCTGTCTTCCTTCCCTCAATCAACCAGTTGCAGCAGATGGCCGCCCCTCCCTGAGCCTGGTTCTGCTGAGGGTTTCTTCCTGTTAAAAGGGAGTTTATCCTTCCCACTGTCACCAAAGTGCTTTCTCATAGGGGCTCATATGATTGTTGGGTTTTTCTCTGTGTTTATTATTGTAGGGTCTACATTACATAATAAAGCGCCTTGAGGTGACTGTTGTTGTGATTTCTAAATAAAATTGTGTTGAATTGAAAGGATACTGAAAAAATATGACTATTCAGTTCGGTTCCCTGATTAGATCTACACAGTACTAATTCCGTATTCCTCACCCAGACCAGACGCCAAGCTGCTCTGATAGTCCTGGTTCAGGTTTTGAAAAATTGATCCTATTTGGATTTGTAGCTGTAATTGTGAAACTGGTGTTTTACCTTATGCAAATCTGCTTCTTTCTTGTTTCTATTTTTACGCTGAGGTCTGAGCTTTAATAGTGTTTCATGCTCTTTACAGGTCTCCAGGTGATTGGTGGAAGTGTGACAGTGGTTCAAGGAGGCACTGCCTCCTTGCATCTTACCGTGCCAAATCATCCACACTGATGATGATTTGACGCAGATTACCTGGCAGAGGACAACCAGAGAAAAACCTCATAATGACAATTTTATCACTGTCCAACCAAGGGAAGGACCACGGTTTGTCAATGGACAGGATGATCGATTTAAATATATCGGGAATTTTAACAACAAAAATGCAACTCTCCAGTTATCCAGTGTTGCACTGAAGGATGAAGGCAGCTACACGTGCATCTTCACATTGTTTCCCAGTGGAAATCAAAAGACTGAGATTCCCCTAATAGTAAACTTTTTTTTCCTTTATTTTAAAATACTCTTGTGTTTGTGTGTGAGACAGAGACAGAGTTACTTTCACCATTCTGCTTGCATGCTGATTTATTTGTGTGCTCTTTGTGTGTATCCTAGTGCCTCCTTTCACAAACATCAAGGACAGTCTTCCCACTTTGGGCACAGAAAAGGTTTTATTTGCTACCTGCACGGCTGCTGACTCGAGGCCTCCTGCCGAGGTGAGGTGGCTCACTGATGCTTTGGGAGAAAAAGTTAGGATGACAACAAATTCCACACAGTATGACAACGGTACGACTACCACAGTCAGCTCTCTGTTTGGTGTTCCTACGAGAGAGATTAACGGTCACCAGGTCCAGTGTGTCATCAGCGGTGACTCCCTGTCTAAAGAAGAAACCCTGCCCTTCACCATACAGGTCTACTGTGAGTATCAGCTGCGGATGTAGTTTATTATTTATCTTTTATCCATGGTTGATGTATTTGTTATATTTTTTCTTGGAAATCTCTGCAAAGTTTGCTAGTGGATTAGCCAGTGGACACATCTGTCGCAATGTATGAACAGACTCAGTCGCAGGACTCTGTTAGTGAAACGATTGAACAGTTTACTTACAAAAGACAAAATACCTACAGCTCTACTGAGGGACTGATAGATATGATCTTTTTCCCAATTCTTACATTGCTAAAAGCCTTACGTGTTGTAAAGACAAAACATCCTATGTACCAAACTTTGGTTCGACTCCTTACATCATTAAATGATGTAAACAAAAGCAGTTTTACTTTGATGTTTCACAAAATCCTCAAATGACTAAAACTAATCAACTCCAGAAAGTTTGTTTTGGAGTTTGTTCTTCTTTTGTTTTGTTTTTTTAAATGAATGGGAGTGAAACATGCCAAATCTCATGACTTTGCCTCCTGTTTGTCACACAGTAGCATGTTGTCACAATAGATGGGAAAATACTTTCTGAAAGACAAAGACATCTAGACTGATTTAAAAAAAGAGCATTGTTTCACAATTATTGCTAAAGACTGAATCATGGCCTGTCCCATACAGCATCAGCCTCAGTCCCAAAAGTTTGTCGAGTTCGGATCGAAGATGTAGGAGACAGAGGCGAAACATTATTTTCATGTTATTTGTCTTTCTGCTCTTGCAGTCTCTCCCACAGAAGTGAACATCAGAGCAAAATCTGAGGACTCATTTGAGTGTGTGACAGAAGCCAATCCAAGTGCAAATTTTACATGGAGCAGGTAAAGTAGCTTGAATAACAGTTTCAGCTGAAACATTCATTTCATTGGTTCTTTTTGTTTGTCTCAAGTGACCTGTGTTTGGCCAACAGTAGCACAGTTTCTACCAGCATCCTGTTGGCCAAAAGCCACAAGTCATTGTAAACCCTCATTATAAACACAGTCACCCACTGATCCAGTGTGGAAATCTCATTCTTTGTGAGCCATGTGCTTGATTTGTGTTGGGTAGATAATGTTTCTTTATTGTCTCAGTCTTTTTTTTAATGAAATGTGAAATAACAAACTAAATGTCATGAAAGTGGGAAAGAACAATCATCTCATTCTCATGTTCTTAATTATTGTGTCCCTGTAGGAGCATGCTCTGCTGCTGGGGTCTTATTTGGTGTTTTGCTTTTCCTGAATGTTGTTGGGGCTGCAGCATGGTACTTTTATAAACATGGATGTTTTCAAAGGTACTTCATATATGAACTTGCATGTATCTAATATCTAGAATAATACAGAATACTTCTGATTTTAAAGCTTATGTACTTAATGTCTTAAGTGTAAAGTTTAATCTAAACTAAGCCTGACAACCTTAGTAAGCCCTTTCATGTAGTTTCACCGCCCGGTACCATGAAAGCCTTATTGGCTATTGCCATACAATACCAGATTTGGCAGGTCCACCACTGGTGCTCTGTGCTTTTCATAGATGAGAAAAGGTTCACTCTGAGCATATGTCACAGACATGAAAGGGTAGAGAGGAGCCATGGAGAACATTATGTTGCCTGTAGCATCATTTAGCATGAACAGTTTGATGGTAGGTCAGTGATGATGTGGGGAGACAAATCCATGGAGGGACGCAGAGACCTCTACAGGCTGCCATTAGGAATCAGGGTGAAATCCTTGAACACATTGTCAGGCCCTACGCTGGTTCATTTGATCCTGGTTTCCTCCTCTTATACAATAATGCTTGACCTTAATAGGCGAGAATATGCAGGCAGATGAAAGAATTGGTACTAATCACTCTCCTAAACCCAAAAAACTGCTGTATCTTTTTTTTTTCACTTTGATTTTCAGGGTGTCTTTGAATTTATCCCTCTGTAGGTAGATCATTTTCATTTCCATCGAACAATGTGACATCCATTTGTTCCTTACACATTACCCAGTCCATATCAGTATAGATATCCGGATGTTTGTTTGTTTTTTCCAGTATTACGAGGGGCCAAATCACATTTTTGTTACATTGTTACAAAAAGCAAAGTGCATTAGTTAGCTTGGTGCAATAGAAATATTAAACGTTCTCTTCACCTGTCCAGCACATTCTCCTCATTGTCTAGGTTAACAAACTGTAGTTAGCTCAGAGGCTGTAGTTGCTATTCTTAGTGGGGAGACTGTCATGTGTGATACCCTCAGTGGTCCTGAAGAAGTGGCCTTTGGTCCAATAAGTATGCAATTGTGCTAGTCTACCCCAATTGAACCACATGCTACATGGCCTTTTCCCTCTTTATAAAAGGGAAGCCATGAACAAATATACTGTCACTGAAGACAAATGCAGTAAAAAGATAGAAATGAATTTGATGATGTCCAAGAGTTCAAGTCTTCACTCACTGCCTGCAAAGGATTCAACAAAGTATTCCGACTTAGTTTATGATTATATTTATTTGTCAAGTTGAATCTCAGCTGCAGGTAATACAGAAGTTTTTGCTCAATTCCTTCAGTTGCAACTGAGTCTGCAATTAAATTGTACCTTTATCATTTTATTTCAAATCTACTGTTCTGGTGTACAGAGGCAACATTTTAAAAGTTGATTTGCAGCCTCTGTGAATACTGTGTCGCTATTTTGTACAGTAGGAGGTCTTTAAACCAACATGGTGGCAAGCAGCATGACACAAAACATCTGGGAGTGTGAGAAACAAAGATCACGGACCAGAGGAAGAAGACCTACAGAGAGATCAAGAGGTTAGTAACAGTTAATTTGTTCATATACTTCATAGCTCACTTTTGTTTCTCCCACAGTTAAATAAGTCTCTGAAAAAAATGTTGGGATTAATTATATATTTTAATGTTAACTACTGTTGTGCAGTTTACTGGAGACTCAATTATAGTTTTAGTTGTATACAAGGCATTTTACTACATCTATCTTACTTGAAAGAGCTGAGCTACAAGAAAAAAAACATTTTATTAATGTGTGCGTTAAGTGTTATAGAAGTTTAAATGTTCTTTGTTAAATCTGCAGACACTGAAAGTATTTGCATTTTCAGTTGAAATTAAATACAGGTCTAAACAAATGCTCCGTATGATCCCTCAGGAATCTCTCTGACAGCAAAGATGAACATTATTTGGACTGAAGGCTCCACCAACATGTCATTTTAAAGTCAGCTGGTAAAGAAACAGATCAACAGTCGCCTGAAGGTATATACCTTGTATACTGAAACCCCCCCCCCCCCCCCCAAGAAAAAAACAGGCCTACAGCTTGATTAGTTTTAAGTATATTAAAATACATTAATAGTATAAATCAGCTCAAATAAAAAGCTTGAAGAACATGGTTGACTGTCAATATCAACAGTGTGAATTAAAATGTAATGAAAAATGACAGTGGACTGGTGGAAAAGCAGCTGGTTAAACATACTGCCATCTCCTCTCATAGTTGTCAGAGCTTGAGTTTAGACTCTTAGTCTTAGTTTAGTCTTGAGTTTATCTGTATTTCTAGTTCGCAGTGTCTTGTTTGATAATAGGTTGCGTTCATGTCTTTGTGTCGTCTCTGTGTCTTGTCCTCAATGTCTCACTGTAAAATCAGGTTAATAAGCATGGAGACAAGACTACCTGTTTCCTCAGTCATGTCTCTCGCTCTCTCTGTCTCTTCACATCTCTGTGTCCGTGTCTCAGCGTTTGTGTGTTCCTGTTTACTTTGGTAGTCGTCATCTCATGTGCCTCGTGTTCTGCTTTGCTTCCCATCTTGTCATGTCTATGTTTCTCTGGCTGTGTTCCCATGTTCCCTGTGTCCACTTCTCCTAACCACCTTCCTTTGTATATATTGTGTCTGTCTTCCCTTATACTTGTACGTTATGTTCAAATTGTGATCCTGTTAGTTAGACAGTTTGTATTTAGCTTCCTTTTCATTAAAAGGCTCTCCTTTGGCTGAAACTCCTCTGTGCTGCCTCCATGTCTGCAATCCTGGGTCCTCATTCACCACACACCATCAAAACAGAGAGCTGCAATCTTTTGGAAGATTGAAACAAACAACACAGCTTTCAAGAACAACTGCCAACAGCTACCACAGGATGGCAGTAATGTAAAGGATGGATTCAGACAGGTGGGGAACTTTATAGCAACACTGTTCAAGATGAAAGGAGAAAAATTGTTTTACTTTGGTACATTTTAATTTATGTGTATTTTTCGATTTGACAAGGCAAGCACTGTTTGCCTTTCTTGTCCTGTCTGCCATGTGTTAAATTACAGTAATGTGAAATGATTCCTGCTTAATGATAGAAATACAGTGAAATATTTTAATTATTTGTTCACTGATTTTCTCTAATTTTGCCTGTCGTTGCCAAGACCTTCAGGATGTAGCTTTAGCATGTCTCTTCCTTTTGAAGAATCATAAAAAGGTTCTTGAAATATTTACTTGGTTTCCGTTTCTTGTTTACACCAGTCAGAACTACTTTCATCAGTTGTATTATTAATGTGGTAACTGTAGACTCCGCTGGTTAGTACGACCTCTCCTTAAGGATACAATGTCAAATTTTAAGCTTACTCAGACTTTTACATTTTGTCTTTTTTTTGCACATTATGTATTTGAAAAGCACCATGACACTATACAGCCACTGTGTGAATGCAGTTGTAGCTGGTCTGTCTGGTTGTGCTGATTGAAGCTCAGTTTTTCTGTCCTATTTTCCTCTCAGTGGTAAAAACTGTCTAAATTCTTTCATCTTTAATTAAATGATCAGTGTGGCTGCTTTACCAGGTGTATCAATTGAGTTTGACATCCAGGCATTCGTGAAAACAGATTTTATTAAATTTAACAGAGTTAGAAGTTAGCAGGGAGTTGGCGCGCTAGTTTCCATCTAAATATAATACACCATGTTCTGACTGAGAGATTTCTGAAACAAAATAAAACGTACAGATCTGCTATCACTTCCAAAATAAATGAAGACAGGAAAGTAAACAGCAGTGATGTTTGTAGGGTTACTGAAGTTGGACTAGCTGGTATATAATGGTGTGCTAGGTGATCGCTTGCGACACGGCTATGTTAGCATAATATAAACACATTGAAGCTGGAGGATGAATTTTTTTCCACTCCATAAAAGTTAATTTGAGGGTTAGGGGTTAGGGACAAATGTAATCGCATAGCAGGATGCTGGAAACAGACCAAACGTCAGTCAGGAGAAAAACTGAGATAATCCATCCACAATACGAGGTTAGTCATTAATATACTGCTGCATGGGCTGTGCTGTAGTTGCATTGTAAGGGTTAAAAAGACTGAGCTTTAAAATGATTAGCGGTAATAAAAAAGAGAGGCCGACAGTGATCACTGACTGTTTTTAGGGAGTTGTTGAGATTAAATAGAACAAGATACAAAGCATTAAAACATGTTAACAACACAACGCAGAGTAGTTTGGGCCCGGAAGCAGGATTGATCATGTCATCACTTAAAGACTAGATAGAGCTTTCCTATTGGACTTCTGTGGTACTGAAGCCCACGCAGATAGTAGTTATAATGCAGCACTTAGACCACACAACATTCACACAACACAAACCCACTGAATGCATTAATCAGTCTGTCTGATGACAGATTGCCACATAGTGCACACTATGTAATAAATAATACAGGCCTGCCTTTTGTGTGTTCCTGACAGTGAATGCACAAGTTTTGCACTAGTAAAATTTAATATAAAGCAACTTAAAGGGATTTTTAAAAAGTTTACTGATAAAAGATGCTTCTCTATTGGATTTATGTTTACTATCATTATTATTTTTATAATTATTAACTTTAAGAAAATTGAAGCTTGGCTGCTGCAGATATTTTTATTTTAACTAAAAAACACAATAAGATGTATTTTCCATGAGTAGTTAGGAAGATCAGGTTTCTCTGATCCATCATTGATCTGATCAGTATACTGACATACAAGATACACAAGGGAAGTGGACACAGCCGGGGCAAACAAGCACAAGTAGACAATCAACACAATGAGGCAGAGGAGGAATAACGAATAATAACACACAAATATCACCAGAACGCATACACTACACATAAGAGGAACAGAGAAAACACTTCTCTGAAATATGAAGTTAAAAACCTAAAGAATAAGTAAACTAAGATTATTTATTATTTTGCGTGATATTAATATTTGGTAAATGGCCTGTATTTGTATAGCACTTTACTTAGTCCCTAAGGACCCCAAAGTGCTTTACACTACATTTAGTCAGTCACCCATTCACACACAAATTCACACACTGGTGATGGCAAGCTACATTGTAGCCATAGCTGCCCTGGGGCAGACTGACAGAGGCGAGGCTGCCGGACACTGGCGCCACCGGCCCTCTGACCACCACCAGTTGGCAACGGGTGAAGTGTCTTGCCCTAGGACACAACGACCGAGACTATTTATTTAACAATAAGCAGAACTACAAAACTTGAAAGTCCAAAAGTTTTAAAGACCCAGGAGAATGACCCTAATATCATATTTTAATCTTTATGTTATTGTTTTTTTTCCTTTTTTTGTCCTCATCCAGACCTTTAACTCCATACACTCAACTCAGTTGACTGATTCATAACACAGATTGGTCAAATGGCTCCAATGACTCATGCCATCCTTCAGCAGTGACAACAGTGCACTGGAGAGGAAACAACATAACTACAGACAGGAATTGCCACCTTATCATGGTGGAGAGGTTTGTATGCCCTAGTTATCCCAGGAACTATGCTGTCAGGGGCAATTTGCCCCTCAAGGCAAATCGTTCACGGGTGAGCAACCGGAACAAGTGAAATTTAACAGACTTCTTTGATGAAAAATTCAAAAATGGTCCAACGACCATATCTCAGTTACTATGGCTCCAACCTGGACCCAGGCTCAGGCAAGGGGCTTGTTGAGAGTCACCTCTGTAGTACATGGCCCCTGACCAGGCTTAGCCCAAAGGAGCCACATCGGGCAAGATCATCTGATGAAGGATCTGTGGTGGTCCAGTGTAATGTGGATAAAACGTAGAGGCCTTGATGGACCAATCCCCAGTTGCTAGTTTGTGCTATACTGTGACAAGTGTCCCCTTTTTAAAATTTTATTTTATTATTATTATTATTCAGCAGTTTGCTTTATTGTTAAACATTGTGATAAGGAAAGAGTTATACTCTAAATGTACTGTGACATTATCTACAGTTTTTGATAACTAAGCTAGTTAGAGTCACTGCTTCCCCTTCCAGAAACTGCTCCAAAATGTAAAAGGCTAACTAGCAAATTTCACTGTTGTTGACACAAAAGCTTTCATTGTAATGTGAGTAAAAATCTATTTCATCATCTGTTTTGTGTTGTTTGTTGGTTAGGAGTATACAAGCTTAAGGCAAGTCAAAGTCTCTGGCTCAGGCTGGTTGTGTAAACACATAGTGAATGAAAAGAGGTCAGAAAGGAGAAATGCTCAGTGCATCGTGGGAAACTCCCAGCACTAAGGGTGGATTCCAGTGGCAGCTAGATGAAATGTCTGTCTCAATGAAATTCAAGGTGGAGCTGGCATTGGCACCGTGTGGGAGGAAAAGCTGACGATTTTAAGGGATCATGACTGATCCCTTAGGGGCCATAGACAACAGTAGTTTTACTTAGTTTTGTTTGAAATAATGATTAACCTATCACCATAGAATGTTTCCCTGACAGGGTACCTATAAGCCTTTTTGCTTCCTAGAATTGGTTGGCTGAGCAAAGAGTAAAGAAGGTAGGATGGTCCATTAACAAGAAAAGAGAAATTAAACTCATAGCGAAGTCCACATAGAAGAAACTGCTTGACTTTCCTAGTATTCCTAGTATAAATAAGATAGCTTATTTACTTCAGAAAAGTTAACATGTATTTTATTTGTTTTATTTTAATATCAAATAAAGTTATAGCTAAAAACATAAAAATTTAAAAAACATGCTTGCACATCTCAGTCTTGCACAAAATCAAAAAACCCGAGCAGAATATTGATCCATGTCTGCACAGTGTTATATTTTTAGGACTGGCATGGTTTGCAATATTAAAGCAGTCTGGCCCAAAGTGATATTTTTGTTCATGAGGTTGCACCCAAGGCAGTGGCTTCTGAAAGCTGAAGGCTCTGCTTCCCATGATACCTTTAAATATCCTATGAACCACAAGTAAACCAGCAGTCTGAGAGCAAAATGCTTTACTGGGTTGGTACAGACCTATGAGGTCTTTGAGACAAGACTGGGCCTGATTATTCAAGACCTTGTATATGAGGAGAAGGATTTTAAATATGATTGTGGATTTAACAGGGAACCAATGAAGAGAAGCCAGTATGGGAGAAATATGCTCTCTTTTTCTAGTCACTGTCAGTACTCTGCAGCATGCTGAATCAACTGAAGGCTTTTCAGGTAGTTTTTAGGATCACATTTGGATACTTTGGATAAATTTGATACACAGACCAAAGTGTCATAACTCAGCATGTGATCATGAGGTTGGGAACTGACTTCTGTCACAAAAACAGGAAATACATGATAATTATAAGTCTTGTGAGACAGAACTTCAGTCTCTCACGTGCTGTGAGGAGAGAGAGATTTTTACTGTAATTCCACAGGTTGAGTTGGCTAACTAAACTTTTTATTAGCTTCATTGTGTCTTTGTAGGTGATCTGAAACTATAGATCTGCACTATCAGTACAATTGCTAAAAATCTTTTGTATTCTAAAGGGAAACTGTCCACAGTATTGCACTCCTATCCATATACTGGGGGAAACATTTTCAGAAATTCTTCCAAAATCCTGTTTCCATATTATTACATTTAGATTTCTGTTTGCTTCCATCCAATCATTTGCTACCACTTATCCATTTGAGCTGCAGTCTTAGACATGCCCAGATCTTCCTCATCCCAGCGACTTATTTAACCTTTTCCAATCAAGCCATCTGAGTGATGTAAACTTGCCAGCAGGGCTGCTCGATTATGGCAGCTACGACATTGTAGCAAAGTTTACACACTATGCCTACTTGATCCACGTCTTTTTTTTTTTTTTTTTTTTTTTTTGCCTGTCCCATTTGGTTCTTTAGCCATCAGAATTGTTGTCTGAAGACCAACAAGGATATCCAATGGATTTACTTTGCCAAATGGATCATCGTGGCATTGCCGTATTGGTCCATTTGGTCGATCTTTGTTTTTATTATTTATTATATTTTATTTTCAGATTTTACAGACGGGACAGACATGAGTGAGGGATAGGAAAGGAAGAAAGAAAGAGGAAGGAAAGGAAAAACAGAAGGGGAGAGGGACAGTGAGAAAGGGGGGGGAGAAAAAAAATCTCCTGGATCACCTGTTGAGAGAAAAATAGAAAACAAGCAAAAAAAACAAAGCAACATACTAAACACAACACCATCGCATTAATCTAGCTAAGTGTAAACAGCAGTAAATACTAAATATTCAATGTTGTTGTGCAGCACCCAGGACAGATGTGCTTCGAAGTAGCGGCCAAGAAAGGTGTAATGCCTACTTGATCCACGTCTGACTCCGCGAACCCATAATGTTTTCACACCACTGAAGTTTTTTTTTACCTCTCTTTTCAACCAACGGCCGTCACTCTCCTCTCCAATTAACTTCTGCTTAGCTTTTCCGAGCTTCCCTCGGGTCCTCTTAATCAGCGGTCCCCAACCCCCGGGACTGGTATCGGTCCGTGAGTCGCTTGGTACCGGGCCGCGAGAGTTGAGGCTCAGGTGTGAAATGTATAGTTTTCAGGGTTTTTATCGTTTTTCAGCGTTATTTTGTTATCGTTTTTATCGTTTACTCAGTTTTCCTTGGTCTTTTCACGTGTTGCGTGTATTGCACGCACTATGCAATACATTATGCAGTTTTAGAATTTATATTCAATGTTTATTGTAGCTAGGCTCAAAGTGCTAATGCTAGCTTATTTTAATAAACAACACTGTATTTGTAAAATCAGGTTACCACTAGAGGTGGCACGAGATTACAACCCATGCCACCCCTGTAGATCTGCCCCTGATCAGCATGGAGTTGTGCATACTCCCTGCTGATCATCTGCAGGATTAGATGGTATGGAGCCCAGTCTAAGTGGGACTACCTGTATAAATAAAGGTTAAATAAAAATTAAAAAGAGGCTTGTTAGTGAGAATCCTAGACAAAAGGAAACGGTTTAAGGAATCTAAACAAAGAGGCACTGTTAGATCAATGAGGAGGAAGGAGCAGCTATAAAAACAAGCCCATGCAACTAACAATTGCCAGACTAGATGACTTACATTCTAATTCCAGTGATTTGAAAAGAATGAAAACAGGAGACATGTTACAGTTCATAAAGACTAAGAAGCCTTTTGTTTTGTTTGGGGTTTTTTTTTTCAAAAGGTCCTGATCTTGTACCTCATTAATTTGGAAGATTAAGTCAGTTTTGACCTGAGTGATCTGATGTCTGGATGTCTGAACAGAAAACACCCCTGGCGCTCTACACCATGAACTTAACTGGAGAGAAGAAGCAAAGAAGGGTTTAAAGAGGGATGTAGCAGGTGAGGTACTCAACTGCAAATGCGTCACTGGTAAGCTGACCTATGCTGCTGTTGCCCTGTGTTGATTTACACAAATGTTATAGTATAGAAGAGGATGTTAGCTTAGCAATAATGGCTGCTCTTCAATCTCTATCTGGGATAAAGGTAGAATCGAAATGGAATTTAGTAGCATTTAAAATTTTAATTGATGACTCCTCCAAGAAGCAAGCAAGACACATAAAAACTCCATGATAGAAGTATCCCCTTGAAGGTACAGCTCTGTAACGATTTTTGCTGTTGCACAATTGTCCCATAAATCTATTTTATGATGTCTCTGCTGCCACCAGGCCCTAACCCATTAGTGACCAAGGATACCACAGCCTGCCCTGCACCACTGCAACATCCATCACTGCAAACATTACCACGACACAGTATAGCCTGCATTTACTGAGTGAGTCATTATATTTTCACTTGTTTTTCCACAGCATGGTTTTTAAAAAGAAAGGAAGAAAACATCATTTAGGCCTACAAATAGTTGCTTTTAGCTGTTGCTAAAAGCCCCAAGAGCAGATGAATCTGCCTACAATACATTAAAATCCACTCAGCCTACAGCACATGTACATTCTAATAAAATGCTGACACTCTATTATCAAAGTAAGTCAGAGATGTTTTTTTGGATTTTTTTTGTTTTATGAATAACAATCATAAAAAATTCAAAGCTTGCATTTACACTAAAGATTTCACTTAACTATGACTATAACTGCATGTAATGAGTTACAATATGCTTATGACAGTTTGTCTGTTATGCCACAATATATTCCTAAATTGATAACTTGGTTACCACCAATTCTTTAAGTGTGATTAAAAAGAAAAAAACCCAATGGTAATGTTTGACTAAGATGGATTCTTGTAATTTATTGTATTACAGGTTAATTACTGTTAGTTACTGTTAGCTGAATCAAAAAATGTAAAGACTGAATTCAGTCAAACTGAACAATTTTAAAGGATGCGGATATAGTTGCTATTTTGAAGCATTTTGTGTATATTCAGTGAATCTGTCCATCACCTGCCATCATGAAATGAGAATGAAAACAGGAAACACTCTACAGATCAGTTTATAAGCACTAGCAATTGTGCCTTTTTTGTATTTCTAGACTTACTGGAGGCTCACGGATGGCTTTTCACTTTCCATACTCACCCAATGCAAAGAGAACAGCCTCCTTTTAATTTAAATCCTTCATGCAAATCAAATAACACTGATGTGTTTGTGCAGCTGACTGTGACACAAGGCACTGGGACTGTCCACAGAATGCAAAACCAAACAAAGAGGCTGGATAAATATTTAACTACCTTAAAGACACTAAGTGAAGCTTCACTTGGAAGCTTTACACATGAATGGTCTCTGGCTGATCACTGATAAGGTAGTGCCAAGAAATCAACTCACATTCATCACACTTCTCTTGGTTTTACTGCATCATCTAAATTGAGGAGGAAAATTCCAATAATGTCAGCTAATAATAATATAATAATTTGTATATATTTTTTTATTTTATGATCTCCCAGAGGTGAATTACCTAAGCATCCTACCTAAGAAGCTTTCACTATTTTCTGTTTACTGAAGGATAAAATCTAAATACATTATTCCTGCTTTGTAAAACAATTATCCAACACAAATGATACTTAAACCCTTGTGCAGCACCATGTTTTCTTGACAACAGGACACAGTGGTGTATACTAACCTGAAAATGGCGCCCAGTGTTTTATTCAGATTTCATGTGAGCCCCTCTGCCTGGTTTTTGGGTCCTGTGCCACCCAATTAAGGAAAATCCTGAATGCACCCCTGAAAAGAAAACTGTAGATCATTGGTTAAATGATCACCATGCAATATTTGTTTGTGCAGACCTGCCATAACTGTGGGGGACTAGTCCAACCGGAATAGTATGGTGAGGGGAGTTTTGTTCTTCCGGTGTTCTTTGTCGTGTGCTGGCGTACGCATTAAAGTTTTACAGCGGACTAACATCGAGAGTGATTATTGGCTCGTCGCATCACACGAGAGTGCTACAAAAACCAAAAAAACCCACTCTTTTCTCAGGCAGTGCAGACAGCAAGGATTTTGTTCCTCCCTGTGATCGCCGTTGTTTTGATGTACATTTAAAGCCATGTGTGTTTCCGTCGGTTACGCCGTTTAAAAGGCTCAACAGAAAGCTACATCCTTAATTCATCTCATGTGTGAAAGGTTTTATTTCCACCACCCGCCCACCCCTTCCCCCCTCTATCTCCCCTCTGTGTGTCACTGTCGGTATTAGTGATGGTAAATTTGATTCTTTTTACTGAATCGAGTTTTAATGAGTCACTCACCAAAGTGAATCGCATTTTTGAGTCATTTGATTCACTGAGTTAGTTGACCAGAGAGTGCAAAAAATGTACATTTTCACTCAAACTTAATTTGTTTCTCTTTTCATGTAAATCTTACTGCTAAGATGAATGATTCTAAAAGAAAACAACTATTTTATAGAGCAAAAAATAGCAAAAACATTTCTAAAATTAAGCAATTTCCTATCAAAATTGCTTAATAAACATTTATTTTGTTTATTTTTATTTTATTAGTATTTTCCTTAAATGTGTTAAGTATATATTTTCTCATCTAAATGTCTACTGAGCTGTGAGCCAGGGGACGGTAATGCGCCTTAACATTGGTTGCCAACCAAGAAGAAGAAGAAGCTGTGAGCCAGGAGGGAGGGGGTGAGTGAGTCCTGAGTGATTCGCTTACGCTTACGATTCAGCACAGTAAGGGAGGGGGTGAGTAGCTCAAATGTGCTGTTAGCATGTTAGCAGAGCGATGCTACTGTGAACCGAGGAGCTATTGTCTTGATGTGAGCTTCTATTCAGGGTTTTTTCTGCCAGTTCAGAGCAGAAATTATTTTGTTAAGATACTGGATGTTGTGTTTTTCACCACAATTTTAATTATAAGCTAGATACATTGCTGCTAACAGCAACAGGGATGAGTCAGTGAGTCAGTTGAGCTTGTGAATCATGATTCATGAGTCAGTAAAGTGATTCTCGAGTATTGAACGATTCGTTCATGATTCGCGCATCACTAGTCCGTATCCAGCCATTTTCAGCCCGCGTCCTTCTTTCTGTCTGCAAGACTCCCAAGAGAATCATCGGTCCTCTAACATTTTTGGGCTGTGGACTTTTTTCTCCCGGAAGTTGGAATGTATAAATATTATGATTAGTGGACAGCAATGATTAGCGGATGGATGGAGCTGCTTCCTTTTTTGGCAGCTTCTGCCACAACATACCGGCCATATGTGACTCTGCGCTACTACGTGTCCTTCTCGTGATCGTGTCTCTTCTATGTGCTGATGTAGAAGGTATTTTGTAGTGACTAGGCTACGATGAACTGAATTTGAATGTTATATTTGTCCACTGCAGCACCTTATTTTAATATTGACGCTTCAGAGATTTGGCTTACAAGACATATGGCGTCAATGTGCGCTGCAGGGTCTTATTATGTTGTTGTTGTTGTTGTTTTTTTTTAATCAAACTTTGTGGTTCATCAAACTGAATGGTTGTGTATCATCATTTATTATCTACGCCCCCAACCTCTCTCTCTCACACACATACACACACAAAAGAATTCATTAAATTTTTATCTGAATGCTTTTTACAGCTCTCCAAGTGATTGGTGAAAGTGTGACAGTGGAACAAGGAGGTACTGCTATCTTATCATGTTATGTCACTGGTACCAATGATGACCTGACACAGATTACCTGGCAGAGGAAGACGAGAGAAAAACCTCACAATGACAATTTCCTCACTATCCTACCCAGAGAGGGAGTGCAGTTTGTCAATGGAGGTGATGATCGATTTAAATATATCGGGAATTTTAACAACAATAATGGAACTCTCCAGTTATCCAGTGTTGCCCTGAAGGATGAAGGCAGCTACACGTGCATCTTCACCTTTTTTCCCAGTGGAAATCAGAAAACTGAGATAACTCTAAACTTGCTTGGTATAAAAAACATAAAACAAAACTTTATTTCAAATATTGTGGGTGTTTGTGTGTGAGACAGACATTTTACCATTTTGCTCGCATGTTGACTGATTGTGTGCTGTAACTCTCCTAGTGCCTCCTTTCACAAACATCAAGGACAATCTTCCCACTTTGGGCACTGAAGAGGTTTTATTTGCTACCTGCACGGCTGCTGGATCGAAGCCTCCTGCAGAGGTGAGGTGGCTCACTGGTGCTTTGGGAGAAAAAGTGAGGACGACGACAAACTCCACCCAGTATGACAACGATACAACTACCACTGTCAGCTCGTTGTTTGGTGTTCCTACGAGAGAGATTAACGGTCACCAGGTCCAGTGTGTCATCAGTGGTGGCTCACTGTCTACAGACAGAAGTCTCTCCTTCACTATACAGATCTACTGTGAGTATCAGCTGATGATGTAGTTTAATATTTGTCTTCTTTTTTTTATACTGTTGACTTAACAATTTTGATTATTAAATCAAATATTAAAAGTACACATGCACACCCAGGATTAACTGATTAAACTGCAACTGCAAAGCAATACTATATAACTTAATTACTTGCTACCAGTTGATCTGTGTTATCTACTCATGCAACAGAAATAGCTTCATCAATTATGGATAAAATAAAAGTAATAGCTGCACTTTTTTAAAACTATACCCTGCATCTTTGTTTTGAACAAAAGCAGACATAAACCCTCAAAACTTCATACTTTCAGGTAACCTTAAGTGTTAAGAGTTGACATGGTTTTGCTTTTTTTTCTTTGTTCATGAGTTAATTTGTTGATTTTTGTTTTTCCCAGTATGGGATACCAGCTTTATCCTTGTTCTCATGCTACTGTCATTCACTCATGTTGTCACAATAGCTGGATAAAGATTTTGCAAATGATGAGACGAGTAATGGAACCTGATCTGTGTCCTGAGACAGAACCACCCAGTTCAGTTGAAATGCAGAAAACTCAATAAAGTTGTGCATCAGTGTGTGTACCAGCACGGCTTTGGTAGGGGAAAAGTAGAATTGAAACTATGTCTGTTTAATCAAAGTTCAACTGTGTTTTTTTTTAACTTACTAGCAGTTGTGCAATGCACTATTTACATTGGTCATGTGAAATATAGGTTTGCACTATATATTTGCTCTCGGTAAGAGTGCAGATGTTCAGGTTAAAAATTAACTGTCAGCAGCTAAAGGCAAGTGACACGACACCATGGTGCACAGACTAGCTTAAACCTGTTTGTAAAGCTTGACAATGACTTCATTTGTTTCAGATCTGTCCAGTGAAGCAAAAATACTAGAGGCTGTTTTCAAAGTTAAAGCATGTGCTTCCAGTTGTGTGGGTTCTTTTTTTAAATGACACGGTTCATCTGTGGTGTTCTATTTCTGGTTGAAATCCCCATAAAGGCCATGCTTTTAAACAGAGCACCAACATGCTTGAATGTGTATGACAGGATCTCTCCTTGAAACTACATGAAAAGTACCCAAAATGCATTTCTTTGCTTGTTTGTTTTTTACATATTAACACAGGTCTTTCATTCTTTCTTTTTTTGCAGTTTCTCCCACAGAAGTGAACATTAGCGTGATTTCAGAGGACTCGTTCGAGTGTGTGACAGAAGCCAAACCAAATGCAAACTTTATCTGGAGCAGGTAAAGTAGTTTGAATATTGGTTTCAGTTGAAATATTCATTTCATTTCACGGGAGTGGTAATATTAAAGGCACTGAGTCTTCTATAGTGCTTGTCTACTCTCCTAGAGCACTCAAAGCGCTTTATACACACCCATTCACATAAACACTTTCTTCTATGCTTTTAAAGTACTCACTAACTAACATTCACACATATTCATACTCCAATGGATGCAACTTTTTAGTATCTGGCCAGTATCTTCCCCAAGCATGCTTGGCACGCAGACTGGGGGAGCCAAGGATCAAACCACCAACCTTCCATTCAGTAGATGACCATCTCTTCCTCCTGAGCTACAGCCACCCCCCAGGAAAGGGTGTTATCACCAAGCACATGTCAGTAAAGATGGTTTTAGAGTGTTTAGAGTGAATTTTGGACAATAAGCTGCAAACTATAATATCAGATGAAAGTTCAGTGTGAGCACTTTAGGCATATAAGCTGCAATCTGATTAAAATGTTTGTCTTGGATTGCAGAGGTAAGCAGGAGACAAAGAGGAGAGACATTATCTGAAGTTCTATGTACAAGTCGATCAATGTGTTCACCAAACAAGACAGTTGACTGTGAGCACACAATATCCTCATAGTTCCACTGGTTTTGCTGTTTTTAAGCAGGCCTGTGGTTAACCCTCTTGAGGCAGGCGTTGCCGATTTGCAACAGTTAAAAACTAACAACCTGATTACCCCACATACATATTTTATAAAGTTTTTTTTACTCAGAAGTACCACTGCAGGACTTGGTTGTGCATTAGCAACAAAAACTTAATTTGAGCCTGAGAGGGTTAAAACTAGCTGCACAGGCTGAAGTGACCTCATTTTAGTTTTAAAGAAACATGAAGGATGCTTCCAAAAATCTGACCTGCATAGATCCATCCACTCAATGTCGACCATAATTTATAAAACTGCCACCATTAACGTAGATGTTTAGCTTTTAGCACAACTCACATTTTTCTGCCTTCTCTGTACATTTCACGTTCAGGTCTCGTTCATGTTTTTCCAGATCTGGCCAGTCTTTGCTGGAGTCTGCTGTCAAAGTAGATGGTGCAAAGCTACAACTGCTGAGCCTGACCTCTGATCTGAATGGCCTTTATCAGTGTGAAGCATCTAACACATATGGAAGTAAACGTGGTCAGCTCTACGTGCATGTGGCATCAGGTGAGGTCAGCTTGGATTTAGCCGTGCAGTTTGTCCAAATCTTTCTGGATTTGTTTCTGACTTTTGGATTTTAGCTTTTGTGGATGTTGCACGGTATGATATGGCTGGGCCATATCATACCGTTCACGGTAATGCTGGTATAATGTGTTAGGATGCCTGGGTTGTTGACCCAGGGTTTTGAGTTTATGTATTATTTATCATTTCTATTCTTTGGTTTCTTCGTTAGAGTTATGTCTTATGGTTTATGTCTCTGTGTAATCCTTAGTTGCTATATCCCTGTGTCCAGTCAGTGTCTGTCTTCCCTGGTCCCATGTCTTTGTTCCCTCTGTTGCAGTGTATTTGTGTATCTGTGTATTTAAGCCCTGTGTTTCTCTGTGTCCGTGTCGCGATCTACTTGCTGTGTGTTCTGTCAGTCTTCCGGTGTAAGTTTATTTTGACATATCCAGTTATGTTACATTTGAGTTTAGCATTAAAGCTGTTTTGAGTTCAAGTTTTGCCTCCGAGCGTCTGCACCTTGGGTCCTATTCCTGCATGCACACAGCCGGTCATAACATAATGTTAGGCAACGATAAGAAAATGAAATATCGCAATGGAATATGGTTAAAACAAAGGCAGTGCCTTTGTTTTCATACACACATGGCGGAAAAAGTATGGCGGCAAGGGAGAATGAGCAGGGCGAAAGCAGATTGTTGAATGAAACAGATGAACCTGAATTGGTTTGTAAAAATGGTGCCAACTTCAGTAGTGTGGCACTGGTTTATTATTCATCCATCAGATAGACACCAAAGCACAATTTTTGGTAGAACATTCAAGCGGGCCGAAAAACCTGGGGCTGCACGGCGTCAACACGTTAGCGCCGTCCAGCCCCTCGCATGCGGCGATCCGCGTTAACTCGCTAACGGAGATTTGCCGTCATTTTAACAAGATTAACACTGACAGCACTAGTTTCAATACGACTTTGGTAAGCTACGAAGCAGCACAGCTTGATGGATTGTCGGAGCGATACGTACTGTGCTTTAGCATAATATTACCGTATTGTGTCTGTCTATAACCTCTTTTTAAGTTTTGTCGATATTGTACATCACTATGCTCAGGATATGTCGGCCCATTTCCACTGGAAATGCCTGTCAAAAATAACTTTTGCATTTGCGCTGTTAAAATTTTATATAGCTTTAATGCACATAAAAACAGTTGCTTGTTTAAGTGAAAATACATTGATGTTTGTTTGTTTTTTGCACTAATAAAGTTTTGGAGTTGTAAAGTGTTTTGTCTCGCGTCAGTTATATCGTCAGTTATATCAAATATATATCGTGATAAATATTTTTGGCCGTATTGCCCTGCCCTAATTCTGATGTTGTTCTGTTTTATTTTCTGTGGACTTCTTTCAAAGGAAATAAATAGAAACTTGAACATCTACTATGACGGATAATGATGGACTTCTGTAGGCACTCCACCCACATACAAATAAGAGGTTAAGAATTGTTTGTAAGCAAATAGCTTAAGGAAATGATTGCCTAACCTTAGAGCCAGCATAAAACAGACAAGTAAATGGATGACTAATGCCCACCCAGTGCAGTATATATTACTCAAGTCAGTTCTACAATTTAAAACTTGCCTTAACATATGATATATTCTGTTCATGGTCTTATGCCTTAGATTGTGCCAGTCTGAGAGATTCTGATTGTGCCATGGGTGCATGTAGTCTTCTTTCGGCTCTTCTCCTTAGAAGCTATGAAAAAATACTTTAAAGAACGATAGTCTGGCTCCTTAAGACTAAACTATGAAGAAATGAGGGTTGGCTCAAAAATTTTTGCTTCTTTTTTCAGACCGTTTAGGGATCAAACTATTTGCCTCATGCTCTAGCATCCTCCTCTTTCCTGCCAACCTCCATGTCCTCTTTTATTACATTCATTAAACATCAGTGCTCCTCTTTCACTTTGTCTTTTTCTTCTGCCTGAGAACTAAATAGTCATCATCTAAAATATGCACTCTCCCTCCTTTGCACACGTCCAAACCATCTCAGTCTCTCTAATTTTGTCTCCAAACGTAGCTTTCCCTCTGATTTACTCATTTCTAATCCTGTCCATCCCAGCCACTCCTGATGAAAATCTGAGCATCTTCAAATGAACAGACTCTAATAGGTTCATTTAGCTTCATTTTAGTGTTGTCAGAATATCAATCAATAACCCCAGAAAAAAAACACATAAATTATAAATTCATTTGCATGTTATGTTTTTCCCCAAGCAAAATATCACTTAGTACTTGGTCGAGAAACCGTTGTTCTTTAGAGAGTCCTTTGTGACCTACTATGTGGCCTTGGGTCACTGTCATGCTCCAGGCTGAGGGTAATTGATGGTCATTTTATATTTCTTTCTATTCCAAATATTCACACCGGCAGTTGTCACCTTCTCACCGAAGGTAATCCATTACAGCAGATCTACATTCTTGTCCATGATGTCCTTTGATAGCTCTTTGGTCTTTCCCATGGTGCAGAGTTGGAAAAGAAGGAACCAATTCTGTGGTTTCTTCAGTTCAGGTCAGAAGTATCTGTGATTAATTGATTGGTTTAATCTGTCTGTCAGTCCGTTGAAACCAGAATTCTGGCTATTTGTTCTGGACTTTAGGTTGATATGTTGTCTCATTAAAATGAAACTACCATAAAAATTAGAAACAGTTCATTTCTTTCTGCTTTTCCCCAACTGTATCAGACAGCTTTCTCACACCTTTCCCATCTTCTCTTCCTTTATCTTCACCCAAGACTAGAAAAGTTTTTGCTAGAACATTTTTGACCAACAGTACCAGAAGTGATCATTGTTAACCTGCCCTCAACCTACATGAGCTACATGTTTGATTTGTGTATGGTATATGTTTAAGTATTGTCTGAGTCATCTCAATATATGAAACATAAATGCCAGATAATGTAATTCTCATTATATCCTTCATTCTTGTGTCCCTGCAGGATCGTGCTCTGCTGCATGGGCCTTACTTGGTGTTTTGATTTTCCTGAGCATCGTTGGGGCTGCAGTATGGTACTTTTATAAACATGAAGATCAAAGGTACTTCATACATTAACTTGCATGTTTCCAAAATGTAGAATAATATTTAGTAGATCTGACTTTAAAGCATGTGGACCTACTGTCCAAACTGAAGTATAGACTCTTTAATTCAAAGGGGTTGACCAAAAAATGTTTTTATTTTTACTTTCGTTTTTTTTTTTTAAATACACAGTTTCTATTTTGAGGTGTTTGAATTTAAATGGACACTTTATTTAAAAGCTGTGTGGAATGCTTCTTTAGTTTTTCTTAAATTAAAGAGGAAAGTAGTATGGAAGTGTGGACAAATGAGCTCTTGACGGTAGTTAATCAGGCCATACTTATGCTGCAAAATCAAAGCAATCTTATCAGAGAGAGTGCAAATCTTAGGAATGGCCTAATTGGCAGTTTTGATACTTTCTGTGGGGGGAAAAAGTGCACTAGTTAGCGTGTTACAATAGACAATAGCTCCTCGTTTGCCATTGGCCTTTGTTTCACGTATTTGGATATCTGACTTTTAACATTGGGTTACTCATTCACTTGATTGTTTTATTTCCGCGCTATTGCAGTGGTGTTGGAGGGATTTTTAATTAATGTCCCCAAAATTCCAGGCATAGGTTTGCACTTTTTTGGCAGCGTGTCCCAACAAATGAATCAGCTGGTGACAGTGCAGCGCAGCAAGAACAACATCAGACAGAGGTCAGTAACTGTTAATTTGTTGAAATATGCAGTTTTTCACTCAAAGTTTGATTTCTCTCTGAATATTTCGACGCTAATGACTTTATTTAATGTAAAAATCTTTGTTTTGCAGTTATGGTAGATATATTAGTAGTTTTAGTTTTAAACAAGTCATTTTATTAAATCTGCTCTTCTTAAAAAACGAGTGTGTGTGTTGAATATGATAGAAGTTTAAATGGTCTTTTTAAAATATGCAGATACACTGACGGTCTTTGCATGTTCAGCTAAAATTAAAACCATTTTAAACAAATGTTCTGAACTGTCTACCACAGCAATCTCCCTGACAGCTGTGGAAGCAAAGGATGGACTATATCTGTACTGAAGCTCTCAAGTTCTCAAGTCAGCTGGTAAATGAACAGATGGAGAACCGGTGGACATACTTGGTGTTCGTTTATCTCTCTGCCCCCTTTTTGTTTATCATCTCTTAGTTTTTAAGGAAGTTTAGTTATAGCTTTCTTGTCACTACCACAGCATTTAGGGTGTACATACCAGCTCTGGCTAATATGAATGGCAGTTTTTCTGTGACTGTTCACAGAAGATAACTGTTCTTTCTGTTCTTCATCTCCTGATAACACAAGCCGTTAAGCTACTGAGGATAACAACCCACAGGGCTTCTGTTTAAAACAATGTTATCAGTGTTATCAGTAGACCACAGAGACCATAAGGTTCAGACAGTACAAACAGTCAAGCGAAGCACACCGTCTGAATACCTTGTAATTCCAACCAGTAAGATTACCACATAGTATATAATACTTGAGTAATACAGCCCCACCCTTGTTTGTACATGGGGGTGAAAGCAGATGTTTTGCTCGGATAACCTAACGTAAAGCAACATACAAGGAAATTTGAAAGAGGAAAAAAAATCTTTAAAAAGGTTAGAATGAGACTTTTTTTTTACTGTGTTGAATCATAGGGTTTTTGTTTATTTTTTTTAAATTAATTTTAATAAAATTAAAGGTCTTCACCCTGCTGAAATCTTTTCCTTTAACTGTAAAAAGTAACACGTTGCAGCATTTTCCAGGAGAGTGCAGCTTTCCTGGAAAACGAAAGCTAAACTTTCGTTTTCCAGGAAAACTGGAAAATTTGGTTTCTCTCATCAGTCATTAATCGTAATCGGTGTATTTACTAAGATTGGATGCTGCAGTCTTTGTGATCTGTCTCATGTTTCCTGTTTTACTTTGACAGTCCCTGTCCTATGTAAATGTTTTCAGTTTTGCTTCCCCTTCGTCTTGTAACGCTTCATTACTCCCAGCTGTGCACTCCTCCTTTGTCTCGTTCCCTCATTACACCTCTGTGTATTTAAGCCCTGTGTTTTCCTTGTTCTGTGTCGTGTTGTACCCTCACTGTGCTGTGTTTTCGTCTCTCTGTTTCTGGTAGCATTCTAGTTCTCTGTTCGCAGTTTTGTTTCCCAGTTCCCCAGTTTTTCTAGTTAGTGCTTCGTGCTTTGAGTTTCTAGTTTTAGTTTCCTTGAATTCATATTCAAGTTTCCAAGTTTCAGTCTCCAAGTCCAGCATTTGAGTCCTACATCCTGCTGCACACAGCACACCTTGACAACGTATTGTTATTCTTATTGTATTCTAATTTTTGCGTCATAACTTTTGCACTGTCCACTTCCTGCTGTGACAAAACAAATTTCCCACGTGTGGGACTAATAAAGGTTATCTTATCTTATCTTATCTTATCTTATGTTATTAGTTTGCCCTTTGATGTTATCTTTCTGTTTTCCTTATCTTCACTTCCTGTCATAATGCGCAGTGTGAGGAATGATTTAATAAAGGAACTGATAAGCAAAAGTAAACAGTTAAATTCAGGCACAGATCCAAAGTAAGCATAGGGTAATTGATACAGAAGTAAAAGCAAAGATTTGTCCAGGTGTGATCTCCCTTCATGAATCACCACCTTATCACGGTGACGGGGTTTGCGTGTCCTTCTGATCCCAGGAGCTTTGTTGTCGAGGACAGTTTGGTCCTGGTAGGGTCTCCCTAGGTAAATTGGTCATGGGTAAAGGGCCAGACCAAGTGTGATTCAAAAGAGTTTGATGATGAGAAGTTACTTGACAGAATCTTGGTTACCAGGGCCCCTTCATAAAGCCAGGCTTAGTCAAGGGGCTTTTTATTAAAAACCTATTATTCATGGGTCCTGGCTGACCCCAGTTACTCCAGTGAACCATCACCTGCTGGAGGGGCCATAGTGGTCCAGTGTTATGTGAATCGGGTGCTAAAACTGGTTTGTGATATATGGTGATAATCAAGTGTTCCTTTTTGAGCAGTGTACTTTGTTGAGTATCATACATAATGAGATGGAAAGGTTTTCTAAAATATCCACTCAGGCAAAACAAGCTTTGTTAATGATTCATAACTCCAGCTGCTGTAGGTGGAGAGCAGTGACCAGTCTATAAAGTCACACTTCATACATGGATTTATGAAATTTATTGCTAATTAATAAACATTCATTGTTTTATGATTAAAATTTTTTCCCCACCACATTGGTCACCAGAGATGGGCAGTAAGGCGTTACAAGTAACGCCTTACTGTAATCTGATTACTTTTTCAGGTAACGAGTAAAGTAAGGGATTACCATTGCAAAAACGGTAATTAGATTACCGTTACTTTCCTGTAGGAACGCTGTGTTACTGCGTTACTAAAACCGTGATTTTTTTTTTTTTTTTTTGTGTGAGACTGTCTCATGAAAGTGACGTAAGCGAGTGCTACATTCGTGACAACAGCTGTGTGCAGATCAACAACGGATCATATATCGAGTGCGGGAGAGAGTATGAGCATGCAGCGTTTAAAGCATGGAAGTACTGACCTTATTTTGAGTTTGATTCCATAAAAAGTGACAAAAACATTAGTGTCCGTTGTGCGTGGGAAGAAAACTTCTTTTTACAGTGGAAAAAAACCCCCTAAACCTCCAAGCAAGCACCGAGTGCGCTACCACGTAATGGGAAACTCACAGAGAAACTCGCGGATTCTGCGGTACACCTGCACCAGGGCAAACCTCCGCCTACCCCACTCCTGCTTTACAGGTGAAAATAGAGCAACAGGACCACTAGTTTTTTATTTTATTTATTTTCTGCTGTGTTTTACTTGCATCTATTTGAAAGAGTGAGTGTAAACACAAAAAAAATATATTTTATGTGCTGGAATGTGCAGAAAATAAGTTTAAATGTTAAACTAATTTATTCAAGTCAGAGAATGTTGCATATAGTTAAATTTTTTGCTTGATGCATAAAGTTAAAAGATTAAAACTAATAAAACACGTTTTAAAAAGAGACTTTTCCATTTGATTACATTTTGTATGATGGATTATGCAGAAAAAGTAGAATTAGGCTGAAAGATCTATCACTTTATCACCTACTCAGGTTGTAAATCGTGTTTTTAAAAAGTAACTAAGTAATTAATTACTTTTGAAAATAAGTAATCAGTAAAGTAATATGATTACTTTTTTGGGGAATTAATTGGTAATTAGTTACTGATTACTTTTTTCAAGTAACTTGACCAACACTGTTGGTCACTGACTGAAATATTATGTGATAGATTAGAAGGTGGGCATTTTGTTAGTGTGATGTCAAGTTTACATTTTTTTTTAATGATTTTCCATGTTTTCATGTGTTAAGTGCATATTCTAAATTATTATCATTAAATTCTGAGGTTTTTTTTTTTTTTTTTAAATGTTCTAGTCTTGTTGAGTCACAGTTTCCATTGTCTCAGTGGTCATGATGGTACTTATGTGAATGTTTGAGTATAAAACTTACAATGTTTACAGTTTTAAACCAGTCAAGCAGACATGTCAGCACTGCAGCTATTAATAATAGCTATTAAAACAATACCTCTTTTTATACTAGAAATGTATTCTGGTACTGCCTTAAGTTTTTGTTTTGGCTGCTTCACTTTTGTAAAAGGTTAATTAGCATATTTAACAGCTGTTTATAAACAAGCTTCTAAAGTCATGTCAATGAAACCCTCTGTTTTGTGTTGAATTCATTTGTGAACTACGAGTATACAAACTTAAGACAGAAAGCAAAGTCAGCAAAAACAGAATTTATGAAATGTGCAGTGTCAAAGGTCACATTATACTTTCATGTTTTCGCAGATCTGTTGATTTGCTGTTTGCAGTTCAGGAAAACTTGAGGGGTTTACTTACATTTAATGTAAATGACTCTGAATTGGATGGTGGCTGGTTGGAGGGCATACTGTATGTATTATTACATGTTGCCTACCTTCAGTACCGGAAGGGGGCCACAGCAGCATGTTGTTTTATTTTTATTTTAGGATAGAAACTGTTGACTCATTTTGTCTGGAT